ATAGTGGCATCGCATATGCGAACGATGATACCCCCGGAGACCGGAAGGGCTCGTACGTAGTGATAGAGACTAGGAAGTACTTATAGTCACTACTGCGACATCTAATCTAGGTCTGAAATCAATATACGAAAGTCTAAGTCGGGAGTTGGCGGAGTTTTGGTACGACTTCTGCACGCATGCGCATAGTCGCAGTACTCCAGTAACCTATTCCTCCACCATATGTGAATTAAGGGGCAAACGATCGTCAGCGAGCCTTCCCCGATATGGGCCCAAGAATGCCTCGAGGTACCCATCCCCAGGTGTACGGTATATCTCCCCGATATCGGCGGACCTAAGTAGACAGGGTGTGCTGAGATCATGACCGCGCGCCACAAAATACAAGTGCCCATCCATTCGATGACTCCCTCCTCATTCGCACCAGCTCTCCACGAACCACTGACATCTAAGAACGAACACCTATCCGGACCTCATCCGTATCCAACGCTCTCCAACCTTAGATACCAGGCTCGCTGCCTGACCCCACACAAGCCCCTCATCTTACCTCCCTATCATCTTGTCCAATGAATTCATGACAGACTACATACTTAGGTTCGGATACGCATAAGTCATCACCCTCCACCGAGGCATACTGTGCCTCATACGCCTCCTCAACCTGCACGCCCTCAGCCACTTTACTATTGATACCCATTTCGGCTGCTGAGGAGTAACCATCGATGCAGCACTCATCAGCACTAGATATGGTTGGACTGGACGGGTCTGAGCACTCCCCGAGATCGTCGCGACGAGGATATGTCGCAGCGTGTTCAACTTCACTCTCTCTCCCAATCACCTCAACGTGGAAGTCACCACCTGGCTCTACTGCCTCACTTGGCGTTGACTCCTGATGCACCTCTTCATTTGCGGGTACCTCATCACAACAGTGAGGGAAAGAGGATACATCAGGACAGCTTGGGAGCCTATCGAAACGAGCGTCGACCTTCAAACTGGAGACGCTACCATCCGCATAGCTTTGCCGTCGCCTAGGAGGTGTTCGAAGAGGGGGACCTTTCCTAGGGCTAGTCACAGTAGTCTCTTTGCTTCCGTGAAGCACGCGCTCGAGCTCTGCAACCTCTTTCACAACTTCATCATCATCATCATCACCATCATCACCATCATCATCACCATTATCATCATTATCATCATCATTAACATTATCATCATCCTCGGTGCAACTAAAGAAACCCTCGTCTTCAGCTCAGTCACTCTTTCAGCATCATCATTCTGTCCCTCGCTCCGTCCAGCACTGGTAGACCCCCCGTAGCTCTCACTGCTAGGGTCCCCAGCATTCGGACTACCCGAGCTACTGGATGTCGATTCCTCCGCGCGAGCCCTCTCCCGCATACGATCATTCCAAGTCTCGGCCGCTGCCTCCTGATCCTTCACAACCTCGAAGATACCCTCAAACCGCTGGTTTAGACGAATACCCAGGTTCGACAGCCTCCTCATATCAGACGCATACAATCGTGCGAGTCCTGAAAGCAGCAGTAGTAGACAGTAGCCAATCAATAGATACCCTACCAGTCAAAGCATCCATCTCGAAGCCAGCGACACCACTCTCAAACCTCCACCACAGGTAGGTGGGACTGATGTCCAGCTTACCCAGCTCCACCTAAGCAAGGCCAGGAATATATGTCAGTGCAAGCGTCAATATACTGGGGCAAGCAGCTCTTAAATACCACAAGTGAACCGACTTATAACACGTTCGATTGTCGCTTTTTCCCGAGGATGCAGAGATAAGATCCCTGTTGCTGGATACTCCAGCTCGACCTCATTGAACAGAAAGTCTAGCCATCTACTCTTTCGGACCGCCGGGGACTGACTGATGGCTCTGGCCATTCAGCCCCTCCCCCCGCGCTGTAGTATGCTCGTACTTACCCCATGAGCGTAGAACAATCCTTTGGTATTTCTCTTGAACTCCTCTACATCCCACTTTCCATCATAAGTAAGATACCTGCTACAAATTGTAAGGCAATATGATGGGATCTCTCATGGTTCACTACCGGACCACCACCGTTCGGCCGTTCTTTTCCCAATTTTGCCTCTCCCTCTGAGACTGCCAATCCCAAGACTGATCCAACCATTGGCTTAAATCCGACTTTTTGTACTCATCAGGATAGTAGGAATGAGTACTACGCTTTTTGGTGAGAACGGAATATGCCTCGTTCACGTGCTGGAATACTGTGTGAGCGTCTCTGAGAAGAGATTAACATAATGACAGTGGTGTCCACAATAAATCACAACACTAGCTATAGGCGAGGTTATTGACTAATCGTTATCATGCGGCAGCTATCTGGTGGTGAATACATCACAAATGAAGTCCATGGACAACCTTCAAGGTCGTTGATGCGGTCGTCTCCGCGGACCAAGGCCACTGTGTTACTACCTATGGCCGTCGTATTTATCAGGATGCCACCTCCTGGCTAGTCGTCTGTATGCTGTCTTGATTTCCTCCACCCCAGCTCCAGCGGTTAAACCCAATATCCGGAAACAATCTTGACGATCCTGTCAGGAATGCCTAGATGATACAAAGTTGGTCCGGATGTTCTCTTTCACCTTCATCCCAGAGGCAGAGATCACCGCCTCGTAGAAGGCCTCGTCATCCAAGTCCATTTCCCCACAGTCAGGCAAGGTACTTGCGACCATCAAGTAACATAAATAAAATCTATTCCGATGGTGTTCAAACCGGGCGCGTTGCAGTTCCAACGGCGAAGCAAGATTCACTTCTACCACCGCAGCACCAATATGGGCATGCGTGCAAATATGAGTGCATTCGTAGCGTTCATCGCAAGAATCGTGCTAGTGCGTAGATATGCTGCTCAGACGAGGTTATGCTGATGACTATCGGACGCCCAAGGCACTTCTCAACTCCCCTACGAGGGGGTCTGAGCTATTGCTGACGAAGCCCGAACGGAATTTTCTTAGGTACTCGGCCGGTAACCTTCGGCATATCGGCCCCTCACAAGGAATTCGTCTCACTTGGATCGAGACAGATCTTTGTAATCCATCGATATTTGGGTCACTTGGGCCGTGCCCAGGTTATTGATCTTCTTATCGCGTATTCATCCAAAATTGGCTGTACTAAGGCATATCTGGGGGTGGTGGCATAGCCGCCCCTTCCGAGAGGGAATTGATTTCACCCAGTCATATCTTGGAGTTGTGGCATAGCCGCCCCTACCGAGAGGGAATTGATTCTACCCAGTCATATCTTGGAGTTGTGGCATAGCCGCCCCTACCGAGAGGGAATTGATTTTACCCAGTTTATCTTGGAGTTGTGGCATAGCTGCCCCTCCCTAATCAATTTACCCCACTACCAGCGATATGCCCTTTACAAGGCATACTACCTGCATTTATGACTGGTCTTATACAACTGTCGGCAAAAGTCTGCATCAGTCTCTTCTTGGCCATTCGATGCTATACCTCCTCCTCCTCCTCCTTCCTATAGTCTCTAGTGCTCCTCTCTATGCTGACCTACTACATGACTTTGTGGTAGCCTCACTAGGGACCTCTCCCCACAGTGGACTTCACGGCACGCTCTCCTTTAGGTCAAGCTGAACTTTAGTCGAGCTGAGGTTGAGGATGCTGATGCCACCCGGATAAGGTTTCCGGGAGGCCACATGTTCTCGTGCAGCATGCCTAATGATAAAACTGCCCGGGGGTCTACGAGTGGTGGAAATGATCTCGTACAATTCTGTGTGACAATCGATTCTAGACTGAACTTGTTCAGGTTGTCAAGGCAAAGTCGCTGGGTATCTCACCACGATGTCGGCGGGTAAATCTTTGGGATGAATTCATCACCGATTTTCCACCCTCTTCCCTTAGTATCATTTGCCGAGTGACTATTGGTCGTATGAGCTGTGCCCTGGGAAGGAGGTCTCGCAGTTTAGAGTTGATGGAACTACAATCAACCTGGCGCATGTTCCTAAGACGCTGATCGGTGAGTTCCCTCCACACGTTCACTCGCTAGATGGTCATGTATAGGTAGCTTCGTTGGAGGTAGTAGGCGAGTCCTCAGCAATGGTACTATTGAGGAACGGTACGAGGAGGGAGCAGCTAACCGGACAGCCACTGTCAGCTTGAGAACGTCGATCCTGAGTGATAATTTTCCTGGTCAGGTGCAGTACGTTTGTGCTCGTAGCACGGATACTTTCATAGATGTCACTGAACCTGAGATCCACCAGTAGGCTGAGGAGAGAGACTTGGCCATGACTGCTGGACTAGGTATCGGTTTGTCGTGGGTCATCCAGCTGCTTGCACCACGTATACTCTCGACGATGGTACGTATGTCTATGATGAACTGGATGAAGAGGAAGGCCCAGTGAGTGTTATCAAACAAACCGTTCATATCTAGTGTGGTCAGTTCAATAACCTCAGCGATGTGCCGGAGGCTAGGGAGGGATCTGTCACTATCGACCGACTCATTTCACTTAACTACAGGGTAGTACTGAAGGGTTGACTGGTTGCGCGCCTCGCTTTGAGATGGTATTCACGCAAAGAAAATGGAGTGTCGAAGAAGATAGCGAGAATAATCGGTATAGTTCGCTCTAGTTTGCTGGGAAGTATAACTCACGTATGGCGGTCGTTACTGAAGGAGCAAACATATTTTACCAACCTATCCTCAATGTGTAAATTTCCTTATCAGTTGAAGCTCACAGGATTATTGGGAGAATTACTTGTCGTTACGCGTTCTCTTCTGGATACTTCACGACACTTGGTAATGTTCCCCATCATCAGTATCATAATAGGGATAAACGCTTTTCTTCGTGGGGTAGCCCGAGAACGCGAAAGGTGATGGGTTTTGATATCACTCTCAGCATCGAGATGAATTTGGCATGTTTTCGTTTCAGCGCAAGTCTCGATCACTGTACGGTGGTTCTTATACGACCTCTTCTGAGTGTAGCAATTTCACCATTGGATACTGGTCCTACCAATACTGTTACCCCCATGTTTTGTGGCAGTACCACGTGGCATCGGCCACAGGAGAGGTAACAAACACTCGCAGCTGTGTCATTACAGTGTGCTTCAGATTGACGGCAGGCCACATCTTCTGGGCAACATCATTAACGTGAGGAGCTGATGTGTAGTGCTGCTGCTATATGCTCTCCCTGGTAGGGTAGTCGAGAGGCTCTTGAGGCTGACGAGGATACCTTTGCTGCCCGAGTGCCTCGTTTCACTATGAGCTCCATGGCTCTATCTTCTAGCGACCATGTAGTTACCCCTTCATAGTATGCTGTGGTTGATCGGTGGTGCTGTAGGGTCGTCGATGGCCCAGAGTCGTTCGACGTGAGGTTATGTACACGCTCGGCAATGGCAGCATATGTCACGAGAATAACGAGACGAGATCGGTACGGTATGGGGGGGGTGTCTGCTCTGATGAGAGAACACTCTTAGGTGTTGGTCAAGTTGGCGTGTCCTGATGACTGGGAGGACTGGAAGCCTGGTCAGGACCCACGAGTGGAGTCCCTTGTTGAGGTAACCTGTTGTGGCGTAGCAGGAATGTGAATATCTCCCTTCCTCAGGTTGCCTTATGCCGCTATACTCTATCCATTTCTGTACCTGCTCTTTGTGCCGATTTGAGGATGTTGCCTCGTCGACGGGATCCCGCCAAGGACGAGATACGTTGTCATCGAGTGGAGCCGGCAAACTCAAATGTTGCCGCCGTTGGAGAGAAATTGAGTGGAGTCGACTCAGCGAGCGTGGCCTCACAGCATGAGATGCAGAGCATTGTATAGGCTGCCTGAATGGCTCACATGACACTTCTACTCTGTTCATTGTTTTTCATATCCGTTTTCACTTCAGTCAGCTGTGTGGTGTTATAAGTCAGTGTCGATAAACGGTTCAGTCAAGTTATTAACACCGTACTGTAGTAGCACATCACTACTCAGCCGACTGAGTGTCATATAAATCGTCTTGGCTGTGTGAACATGGAGGAGTTGAGGATATTAGTGGCAGTGGCGTCGCAAGTCCGGTCGTGTGGAAAGAGCATTTCGGCACTTTCCGAGGCTGACCATGCAAGCGACTATATATCAGATCTACGTTATACGAGGTGCCACGTCACTTGATCGTGAAGGTGGGCTCGAGGGGAAGCATGGTGTCGACGGACGCGATCGCTCTGACAAGAAACCCTGCACGTTTTTAGGGCGCGCGCATTTAAATTTGGGCGAGCGAGATTCTCCGACCGTTTTAGGCTCAAGATCGTCGTAGGAAGCGACTTAATTGAGAAGCAGGCTACTCTTTCAGTACATTATCACTTTTCCGTAACCATGCTCCCTAAGGGCGTTAAACATCCAACTGCAGGCAAGAAGACGG